AAATTTGGAAGAAGCAGAAGTAAAGAAATCTGAAAGAGAAAACCAAGAAAAGGAAAACCTGTGCCTACCTGAGGAAAGAGCATTTGAGCTTGAAAAGCTTAGACTCCAAAATACAAAATTGTCAAATTGATTCTACTCCAATGCGATTTGATTTAAAAACTGTCCTACCTACGTTTTGTCCTGATACAGATGATGTCTTTATTTTTAACCATGTTTGAAAGACAGATGAAACTTTTAAATGTGTCTACAGACCACTGGGTATCACATTTAGTTGGAATACTTCCAAGTGATATAGGTAAATTAATAGCAAGAGAACCTGAAGAAATGTTTAAAAACTACACCCACATTTGTACTATATTGCTACAAAGGTTTAAGCTGACAGCCGACCAATTCAGACTTCTTTTTAGTCAACATCAGAAACGTGATCATTCCACTTGGAAAGATTTCTATTGAGCTTCGAACCTACTTTGAAGGTTAGCTCAATGAGTTAGAAATTACTTCATTTGACCAATTAAAACAGCTAATCCTCACTGATCAAATTAAGAAAAGATGTCCTCCGGAATATAAAAATCATTATTTACATAGTTGGGAAACACTCAATGATCCTGTCATGTTAGCCGAAAGTTTGGACTTGTATGATAACATAAAACCACCTTATCAAAAAGTAGCGCAACCCCTCAAATCACAGGAATTGCACAAACCGAAATTCCCTAGAAATGCAGGTGGTCAGGTCTTTAAGAAATCTCCTTTCAATAAATTTGAGAAGAAAGATCCTCTGAGTTTTCAGAAAAATACTATTCCTAACCCAAGTTATATGCCTTCACGAAACGTGGAAAATTCTGTTTATTGTTATGGTTGTGGCTATCCAGGATTCATAAAATCAAAATGTCCAAAATGTTCCCTAAAGAAGGACACTATGCATGTCAATGCAATAAATATGTTTACTTGTTTCACCTCTCCCGTAGCTTTACTTGATATCGAAGTATATGAAGCTACAGGAACAGTCTGTACTGACACAGGAGCCAATCAGTCAGTCGGTGGAGAGCTAATGTTTAAATTTTTAACGAGGCGAGGACAAAAACTTCACGGAAGTTGATCTTGCTATCTGTCTGGCAGACGGTCAGCAATCCACATCATTCGTTCTTAAAGCTACAATGCCGATCACAGTGCATGGCCGGACTTTCAACATGGATTTACATTTTCTACCCCATGCCAAAGGTAATCGTACTCTCCTAGGAGTTGGCTTTTTAAGGAAATCAGGAATTGTAATGGACATGCGAAACAATTCTGGTATTTTGGTGATGCACCAAGTTGTAGAATACCTTTTGCAAAAGATATTCCCTCACCAACAAGTTGTAATCCTGTCGAAATAAATACTAGTTACTTGTCTGACAAATTCACTTACAAGTGATGTTTCAGTGCAAAACAATCCAGTTATACCTGAAACAAAAACTCCTTTGTTATGCGAAGACAAAGGTCAGAACCTTGTTGCAGAAAATAAAAATCGCTTAGCTGCTTTGCTTAATGAAAATGGATATCTTTTGACTAGGGGGAGAACCAACTCCTTATGTCAAGCACTTTATTAACACAGGTGATCACCCACCGGTTGCATCGCAGCCTTATAGATTATCCCAAAAAAAGAAAGAGCTCTTACGAAAAGAAATTGATGAACTTTTAGCCAATGATGTTATAGAAGAGTGTGAATCACCGTATGATATGCAACACCAGTAGTTTTAGTGCCTAAGCCAAATGGAGCTATTCGTTTGCGTATTGATTACCGTAAACTGAATGCTATAACAATACCTGACAAGTATCCACTTCCGGTTATGGATACACTTTTACACGATGCAAGATCCACTGCCTATATGTCTACCCTTGACTTAAAGAGTGGATATCATCAAATTGAAGTCAATCCACCAATAAAGATAAAACTGCATTTGTGTGTCTTTTTGGTACGTTTCGATATAAAAGAATGCCTTTTGGTCTCAGAAATGCTCCAGCAACTTTTCAACGCCTTATGGACCAGTTCCGAAACGGACTACCCACTGTAAATATTCTTGTTTATTTAGATGATATTTTTGTACTGTCCGAAACCTTTGAACAACATATTCAAGACTTAAACTTGGTTTTCGAAAGACTCCGAAAATTTAAGTTATGTGTTAATAGAGAGAAATGTAAATTCGCATGCTCTCGTGTGAAACATCTAGGGTTGTGGATAACACCTAAAGGAATAGAAGTAGATCAAGACAAAATTGCAGCAATACAAAACATTCCTTCTCCAAGAAATGTTAAAAAGTTACAATCATTTTTGCAGACCTGTTCGTGGTACAGGAAATTCATCCCGAACTTTTCTGATATTGCTAGACCCCTTAGCAATTTGACAAAAAAGAATGTTGTTTGGAGATGGAGTGAACAAGAGCAACGAGCCTTTCAAACTCTTAAGCAATGTTTAGTAACTCCACCAGTACTGAAGCAAGTCGATCCTACAAACCCCTTTATCATCAGGACGGATGCAAGCGGTTACGCTTTAGGTGCAGTTCTTCTGCAGTGAGAAAGTACCGCCGATGAAAGACCAATAGAATATGCCAGTAGACTCTTAAGCTCTGCTGAAAGAAATTACTCAACAACTGAGAGAGAAGCGTTGGCTGTTGTCTGGGCTTTGAACAAATTTCGAGGATATATTGAGGGTGCAGATATTACAGTAGCATCTGACCACCAACCATTAAAGTGGTTAATGACTTTATCGTCACCCACTGGCAGGTTAGCCAGATGGGCACTTCAGATCCAAAGCTTCAATTTGAAAATCAATTATTTTCCAGGAAAATGTAACGTTGTGGCCGACATGCTTTCGCGACCTGAGTGCAGCGACAAAGAACCTTGTGAATTACAAACTATTGTTATTGATGTCCCATCAAGAACAGCTGCTGACCTTAGGACGGAACAGTTAAAAGATCTTGAACTGAAGAAGATCATAGATTGTTTTGAAGATATCAACAAAAGTGTTGATTTTGAAAATTGGACGGAACGAGGGTACGTCTTAAATCAAGGAGTACTCTACCGCTACTCTCCACACTCGGAAGTGGAAGAGGCTCAACTAGTCATCCCATCTCATGAAAGAGAACAAATTTTAAAATTACATCATAATGCACCCACAGCTGCACATTATGGAGCTGATGGAACCTTTTCTCGAATATCATCCAGATATTATTGGACAGGTATGAGAAAATATATTACCAATTATGTAAAAAATTGTGCAGAATGTGTCAGATATAAGGCAGCAAACCAGAAACCTGCTGGTCTGTTACAGACACCTGTACCTGCTCAACGTTTTGAAAGCATAGCTGTATTGATCTTTTTGGGCCCTTACCAAAAACGAGTGACGGCATGAAGTGGATCTTCATTGTTGAAGATTGTACTCCCATTAAAGGAAGCTACTGCTAAGGAATGTGCCTTAACACTACTCAATGAAGTCTTCTTAAGATACGGATTACCACGACATCTAATAAGTGACAATGGTACTCAGTTTGTTAGAGCGATCATTCAACAGTTGTGTTTTGTACTAAGCATCAATCAAAGTCTAATTCCAGTTTACCATCCGCAGGCAAATCCTGTTGAACATAAAAACAGAGATTTGAAACCTCGTTTGGCACTCATGGTTGGTAACAACCATACATTGTGGACTGAACAATTACCTGCTATTAGATTTGCAATGAACACTGCAAAATGTGAAAGTACTGGATGCACTGCAGCTTATCTCAACTTTGCCAGAGAATTAAGTACTGTAGACGATGTTACTTCTGACCTGCGATCTGTTATTCACAATGACAATTTTGTTCCAGAATTTACTCCTTACTTAAAACGTTTTGAAAGGAATATGTCACAAATTAAAGAAAATATCAAGAAAAGTCAAGATCGTCGAAAAGCATATGCAGACAAATTACGTAAATCAAGCCCTAAGTATAAACCAAATGATTTGGTTTGGGTAAAACTTCACCAATTAAGTAAAGCAAACCAAAGCAAAACTGCAAAGTTCATGCCAAGGAAAGATGGTCCTTATATCATTCTGTCCCAGAAATCACCTTCATCATTCATCATAGCTAGTTGTGACAAACCTAATGAACCTACAGGTGTATATCATGCATCAGCTATTACACCTTTTCAAAATGTCACACAGAACCAATCTCCTGTAATGCCTTTAAGGAGACGTGGTAGACCTCCAAAACAAACTTCTAACGATAATGAAAATCCTGGGAAAGATGCAAATTTATCCAGAATTACACCACCTCGCCGGGACGGTCATAGGAGGTGTAGGGGGAGGATGTAACGGATATATTTACTCATACCTTCTCTTTTGATGCACTAGAGGGTGCTACATCCTTTAGCCAGCTAGTGTCTCTCCCATGATCCTCTGCGAACACAGAATTAATGATGTAGTCCAGCAGTCATGTTTTTTTAGTGTAATTTTGTTTCTTGTTATGTCTGTGTGTTATTATGTTTTGTGAATGTGGAGCTTAAGACTTAATTAAAATATATCTGCTCCTAAGAATGGTTGCTTTCATTGGCTGCAATATTTTTATCAAGAGTCTCGTAACAACACAACGGGCATACTATATTTTTTTGCTTCCAATGTTGTTTTTTTAAATTACTATTTTACTGTTCTTATTAATAATATTTGATTATAAAATGTGCTCCTTTATTTTACATTTGTTTACAGCAAAATGGTTTACATTTTTAGTTTATGCATATTTTGTATAAAATAAATATGGCAAAGAAACAACTGTGCTTTTGTACCTTTTTTGAAAAATTTCCAATTCCTATATTTATACCAGTTATTCAGGTACTATGTTAAAAAAAAATATTGAATACTAGTCATTTATTTTTGTATGATACTACATTCACTACTCACAACTTAATTAATCTGGTTCTCATTTAGTGTACTTATACTAACTAAATTTCCACTAAACACTACAATTAACAAATGAAATAGAAGTTACACTTACCATCCATTCACTCACAATAATATCAACTTTTTCAGGCAAATTAGCATCCTGTAAATTAAATTACGTCTTAAATAAAGAAAAAAATTTCAATGTTAATAACACGCTTAAACTCGCATAATTTTGATAACCTAAATTCTGACTTCTGAAATAGCAAAAAACATTTCATCATAAAAATGAGCCTAAAAATGAATTTTGTATTAGTAAAAAGGTTTATAGTACAATTCTAAATTTAAAAAAGTACAATATTAATTTTTATAAAAAGTACCCTTTAAGATATTATAATTTGATTGTTACTCTAATGATAATGATGATGATAATGCTATTATTAATAGCAGTATATAAAAAAAGAAAAACATGCAAAATCATAAGATTTCTTTTTTTAATATGAAGTTAACATATTAGTTTTCTAATATCTAATGATTATTTTAGATTTATTTACTAATAACTGATTTTATATATCTTCTCATTCTCAATCTGAAATTTAATTGGCAGTGCAGAAATATATATACATATATACTACCACAATAAATATTCTCTTATATGTAATAAAGAAAGACGATTTCGAAAGTTACTTGTGCCTTAACTTGTGACACAGCAAATTTTTAGAAATATACCAGTTTCTATCAAAATATTTTTTAAAGTGACTCTGAAACAAAATATTTTAAAATTACACAAATTTCAAACAGTATATTTGAAACAAATTTAGCAGCTTGAAATAGCACACAATAAAAGTATGCTCATTTTCAACATACATGCTTAAAATATGAACAAAGATTTAAAAAAAAAATCCATATCTCTAAATAACACTAATAACTATCAGGTAAAAATTAATGTTTTAATAATTGATTAAAATACACAGTTAAAAGTCCGTAATCTGGACGTCCATTATCCGGAATGATCTATAATCCAGACCTCAGAGCCACAAACGTTTTTTTCGTATGCTTTACGCATGCACGTTTAATGTTACGCATGCGCATTTAGCACAAAAAACGAAGCAACTTAAATAACTTGCACTGAAAGAAATGTTTTATAAAGTAAACAAATGAATATTAAGCTTTTTTTTTTTTTTTTTTTTGTAAATTTTGATACCCTTTAGATCATAATTTCTCTTCAAGCACGTAATGCGTTTACGTATGCACGTTTAGCACAAAAAACGAAGCAATCAACTTACAGTGAAAGAAATGTTTAATAAAGTAAACAAATAAATATTAAGCTTTTTTTATGTAAATTTTGATACCCTTTAGATTATAATTTCTCTTCATGCACATAATGGGTTTACGCATGTGCGTTTAGCACAAAAACGAAGCAAACATTTTACAATGAAAAAAATGTTTAATAAAGTAAACAAATAAATATTAAGCTTTTTTTTTTTTTTTTGTAAATTTTGATACTCTGTAGATCATAATTGCTCTTTATTTCATAAATTATGGTTTAATATTTTCAATTGTACAATTTCTGCATGCCATCTTACCAGATTTAAATTGATGATCTATAATCCGGGAAAACCCCTAATAAAGGGACTTTGTACTGTATCTCTTTATTATGTCTCATTTTAGACAATGCTTTTACATTTAAATTTTTTTTTAATTGTCAAGTTTACTTTAAAAAGTTTCTAGTTTAAACTTATGTAGTTTTCATATCATATTTAGATCAGAATGTCAGTTTTACTGCTTTTACTTTTTATGCCAGGTAATGAAATTAAATTTTGCATTAATTTTTTATTTTTGCTTTCCCCCTCCACATTATTAAATTTCCCTCAATCACACAGTTCACTGCCAAAAAACTGAGTTAATATTTGTCACTTTGATATGAAATCTGAATAAAATTTTCTTAATGTGCTGCCCAATTTTTATAAATATCCACAAAATATTATGTCTTCCATGAATACAGCACTAAAATTCTGAGTTAGTTGTCTTTTTTTTTTTTTTTTTTTTTTTTTTTTTTATGCTTTGCTTCTAAACCTCTATTCTGAAAAACCTACTGAAATAAAATCTTAGCTGATCTTTCATAGCAATTTGGAACAGCATTCAATATCAAGCATAATTTGAAGCAACAAATACAGCAATCCCACACTATTTATTTTCAGATAGTAATTCCTCTATATGCACAACAGAATGTATTTGTCTCATTTTTTTCAAATGAAGTTTATAATGTTTGTATGAAACTAATCAGTTATTTATGATTTGTGCCTTTACTATAACTTTTCCTTTCCATTTCCTCACCAAAATGCAAATCAGTTAGATAGTATTTAAACTGATGTTTTGGTTTTGGGATTGTAATATACACCATGTTTCTCCTTTTCATGGGCACATTTCATTAGTTCCTGCCAAGTCTGATAAGTTTGTAATCATTTGGCTTTGTGTCATCACAGCAGACATTTAAATTAGTTATGTTGATAGAGTTATTGAGCCAGCTCTGGTTAAAATGTAATTGTGCAGTTTCTGATTACTAGCCTATGTTTTAAATTGAAAGTTACTGTTCCTTAGTTGCATCACCAAAAGTTGTGGTTGTTCTTATTAACACAAGAGGTTATTACACACACACACAACTTAAAAGGTTTATTTAAACCTTTCCAAGTCTCTGTAGTTACTTCATAAAAAGTGATAATTTGCTTTGTGTCTGTTAGGGTTTTGGACTACTTAACGACAGATCAAGGCAATCCATATAAGTTCTGAGGGAATATTAGAAAGCTTCTATCAGAAGGCCACACTGCCAAATGCATTTAACTGCCTACTATATTAAAGACAGGCATTAAGGTAGATGTGCAATGACAAATAAGACTAAAACGCATAACCAACTCAAATTTACAGTCTGCTGTATTACAAATGCACAAAAATGGCACCATCATTTGCTGAAACCTAGGTGCATCACAAATATTTTCAGAAGACAGGAAATAAAAACAAAAAAAATTCCACAATGAGATATTTTGGCTGTAGAGTCAAGACCTTCCATATAAGGACAATCAACTTGGCTTCAAGATTCTGACAAGATGAGGATGTGTACTGATGTGTGGCACAATGACTTGTAAGGCTCCGTGTTAAACAGAAATAATGGAATCGGATAAATGTTTGCTAGTTAAGTCCTTTGGTAGCCAAAGAAATGTACATTGATTGCATATGATCTGTTATGGAACAAAATCTGATAGCTTCAATGTCATCAATATGCATATTATGCATTCCATACACAATACTAAATTTAATATATATATATATATATCTTACGTGACATGGTCTAAACATGAATTCCATAGCTGTTCACCCAAAGCATGATACACATCAAATACAACTGCATATATATATACACCTTACGTGACATGGTCTAAACACGAATTCCATATCTGTTCACCTAAAGCAACTTAAACAACTTGCATTGAAAGAAATGTTTTATAAAGTAAACAAATGAATATTAAGCACACATCAAATACAACTGCAACATCATTAAACAAAGAATTTTTAAGTAACTTATAATTATATAAATGTGTATAACTAAAGACAAACTAAATCTAACCTCCATTTTTTCTTGCATAACAATTATTCGATCAGCATATCCATTTGTAGCAACAACTTTCTGAGCTTCTGTTGCAATGGAACTTGCTTCAATGGCATACACTAAGGAGAGAACACATCGCTCTTATTAAAGAAAGATTTTTTTTAAACTTAAAAAAAATATTCACACTAAAAACCTTTTTCATACCACTTATTTTTCTTACTAAAGAGAAAAATTTAAAAAACTATTGCTAAAATGTTGACACCAAATTAAGTATTGCATTATATTATAAAAATAAAAAATCAATTTTTGCACCTTTTATATCACTCAGTCAAATCCAGAAAAAATATTAAAATCAAAATCAGAATATTTTATTTAGATAAGAATAATAGATTGATCAGGGCAAATTTGGTCATAATAAATACACAATAGGAAGAGTAGGTTTCATTTTAATAAATCAAACAGTTAAATCTAATGATAAACTCAAAAGAAAATTTAATTGTTTTAAATCATGATGCACAGATTTCTCATTAAAGTACTGTTATGCTTTGAAGAATCATGCAGTCAAATGAAAAAAGTTTTAAATGAAAAAAGTTCATGATTCAAACCTGGGACAAACTGACATAGTTAGTGCTGTAATGAATAAATTATAGACATTCAAATTAAAGATCTCTTCTTGCAAATGAATATTTCAAAATAAGCCATTCAATCTATTTTAACAAATAATTTGTTCATGGAAAATGACCAACTTGCAGCCACAGGAAATTGCGACTTATCAGGTTCATAGAATAGCCTTGAAAATACCTTCCATTTGGAAATCAAATATCGCGTTATGGCTAAGACTAGATTAATATGACGTTATGAAATCCAATTTGATCTGGCTGCAATTACTAATGATAATGTGACATTTTCGTATATCATAGCAAATTTAGACACATCAACTTTATTACATGCCTCAAATTTAATCTTAACACCTCCAGAAACTGACAAATATCTAACTTTAAAAAACAGATTAATCACAGAGTTTCAAGATTCTAAAATAGCATAAATCCGTAAACTTTTATCAGAATTACAATTAGATGACAAAAAACCTAGTTTCCTTTTGAAACAAATGAAAGAGATAGCATCAAACAAAATACATGATGATTTCCTAAAAAATCTGTGGATACAAAGACTTTCTTCCAATATGCAAGCAATTTTATCTGCTTTGGATACAGATTTAATTCATCTATCGCAGATAGCAGATAAGGTTTTGGAAATTACAAATGACGCACAACTCAATGTTTGCACAGCACCAAATATTGAACAAAATTCAGAGTTAAGTTCAGCACTAAGCTTTATGACCAAACAAATAGAGAATCTCACTAAGCAAGTTGAACAACTGTCTTGAAAGCAGTACAATAAAGATCCAAGATACCGCGATAACCGCAAAAATTCAAAACACCAAAAGTTCATTACCATCATGTTATTATCACAAAAGAAATCAAATCTGAATGATGTCAAACTGATACTCGTAAATGTACTCATCCATGCTCATTTCACGCGGAAAACTAAATTCCACTGCTATTCCGAAACAAGTCATGGATACTGGAATAGCAGACAATACTTCCAACAGATTACACATATATGACAAACATGTAGTTTCTTGTTGACACAGGTAGTGACATTGCCTGCCTTCTGGTGCCTAAAGGAAAGCATATCTCTGTTACTACTCTAAAGTTATTTACTGCAAATAATACTAAAATTAAAACATACAGCATTAAGCAACTAAATTTTATTTTCGATCTCAGGCAAACTTTTAAAAGGGATTTCATAATAGCTGATGTTTCAATTCTCATAATAGGGACCGATTTCCTCAGCTATTTTGGATTGCTAGTCGATTTACAAAATAAATAAATAAAATAAAATAAAAATTACATTAAAAAAATCTGAAAGCTTTTAGACTTTACATTATGCCCAAAGGGACTATTTTTTTAATGTTTTGTGTGTTACCTTTATTTATTAAATATAATGTTCTTTGTGCTTAAACCATAAAATTCAGTTCAACAGCAATATCGCAAAACAATTTTAAAATTACTATATTTTTAGAATTTCTGATACACAGTCTCATGCGCTGGAGATGAATTCCCCCCCCCTTTCCGTACAGTGTTACCACTGCTAACTTTGAAATCGTCGAATTTCTTAATAAAAAATTCACTGACGTGTTACAAAATATGAAATTGATAATAAAACAAATTTCAATTTCCAAATTAGGGCTTCCAGATGCTCATTTTCGGTAGAAAATTATGTTATGTTACTAGTACTTTCACGAGGACTATTACAACTGATCAAGAATGTCAATTCGAGTCTTGTTTATTTAAGGCTCTAAACTCCTAGGCATAAAACGAATATGCACAACTGCTTATCACCCTCACAGCAATGGTTTAATTGAGGAATTTCACCATCCTTTAAAATCCGCATTAATGTGTCACAACACCATACAATGGACAGAAGTTTTACCAACTGTGCTGCTTGGGCTGAGAACAGCTCTCAAAGAAACCATCGGTTGCACTCCTGCTGAACTTGTGTACAGAACTACCATTAAATGATCCTGTTGCAAACACTGAACAACACCAAAGTTGCATGCAGCAACTTAAATCAAAACCAATTAGATCACATGCAGTAAAAGCAGTGTTTATTCACAAAGATTTAAAAACATGTTCACATGTGTTTAAGTGACATGATGCAGTACGACGGCCACTACAACCACCATACGACAGCCTTTATAAAGTGCTCAAACATGGTGAAAAAATATTCAAATTATCCATTCATGGAAAAACTGTTTCGGTCTCAATTGACCGGGTGAAACCAGCATTTCTGTTGAATACCAACATGGATACTTGTTTTCCTGATACTTTGAAACCTAGATCTGCCAAACCAAATATTCGTCAAACTCTTTCAAGCAGATGTGCATTTCCCTGACTTTTACGTACCATCACAATGTTACTAGAGGGGGAGTACACAGATCACACAGAGATGAGAAAATTGTGTGTGTGTGGTCCTCGGACGTCGCTATTTTTAAGCTGTTACGATGTGTCAGACGACATGGTCTGATATCGCAGATATAATAATTTGTTTCAGCTGACAGTACAAGAGGCATAACTTTACGACCAGTGTCAAGAGATTTTAGCATTTTACACTGTGTCTGTCAACAAAGCCTCTCGATTTCAGAAGGGCTGACGAACTAATGATCTTGTTTTTCTTCTGAAATCGTTGCAGATATAATGAATCAGACAATGTAAAATGTAACTAAAAATTAAGGAGGTGACTCTAGTTCAGTCTGCAGATTATTTCCAACCAAACAACATACGAGAATGCTCTGGAACTCTCAACTACAGAGACTTGCCGTTAGCAAGATTCTAACATAACAAGGACAGTAATCTTACCTACATTAATTGTTCTAGGTTTTCCATATTATTATACATATGTAATAGAATTTCTCATAATTTATAATAAAAATATTTTGCATTAAAAATGCAGTAAATAATACACAACCTCAACAAATGTAATAATCATTACAAGGAGTCATCAATACTACCTGCTGCCGGTTACCACATGATAAAGCAAGCTGGTCCCTTTCCAAAATTGAAAGCTAGATTACATACATTCTGAAGTAGATCCACTCTAAAAACTTATATGATACAAAAAAGTCAATGAAATTATACACCAAGATCCCAAAAATTACTCAACTTTATCTAAAAATTCTCATATTTCAGTTAATGCAATGCTTAAGTTTCATCAGATTCCCCGTCCAATATAAGGAAAGGTATGGAACTAAAACTCTAATGCAGTTTGAAAAAAAAAAGAAAAAAATGTTAAAACTGCTGAAAATTCTCAGTATTTATTTTTTAAAAAACTTGTTAATATTGCTGAGAGAATTTATATATTTAGAAAAAAAAAAAAGAAAGAATGAATGAATGAAAGATACATTTACCTTTTTTGGCACCAGCTTGAGCACAAAACAGACTCAATATACCTAAAAATTATGAAAAGATTACTGTTAAAAACTTTAAATTACTTGACAATATACCTCTATGTAGACATTAATGGATGCATATATATATGTGTGTGTGTGTGTGTGTAAGAGATACAAAAAATATTATTGAAATGTATCAACAAATTAAATTGAATTGGAACAGTCCTTCAAATTCTTAATTCTAATTGCGTTACATCCCCTCTTCAGGGTTTAACAAATTAAATTGAATTGGAAGGGTCTTTTAAATTTTTAATTCTAATTGCACACATCCTCTTTTCGAGGCTCTATATCGCACCATGCTACATCATCATGTTTTCCCAAGAGTAACCGCAATGCAAAATCTTTTGACCAATCGCACCTCAGGATTAAAACAATCTCCACATTATCACTTTATTTGATGAAAGAAGCCTTTCAATTTTAATACAATTAAACTAAATAACTGGAAATCTAATATTTCTAGAAAAAAGTATTGCCAAAACTATTATTAATCAAATAAAAAAATAAAAAATATTTGTAGTGACAGCAATTTATTTTACAAACAAAAATATTTGTAATGATAGCAATGATTTTACAAAACAGCTTTTTATTAATTTAAATATTAAAGGTTGACAAAATTCCACATAATTTTAACAAAAGACAACTAACTAAACAACAGTTGTCAATCTAAAAATTATTTACACTACCAAACTGCTGTTTTTCATAAAATTCTATACATAAACCATTATGCCAGTATAGTTTAGATGCCCTTGACTCTGTTAAATTAGACATTCTTGCTTAATTCTTACACAGATTTAATTTAGATTAGATCTTCACCTAACTTAAATTTATGGTGGTTAGTACTGAACTCCTTTTGGGATTTCTAATCTAGGTAATGTGATGAATTTTACTTTTACAAAATAATTTCTTTTTGTTACATCATTTTTGCTAGACCATATTTAATGTTGCAGTGGTGATTTTTTCCCCTAACTATATTTATTATTTTGTGCTGTATCTAAATCCATTACTTAGTACATTATACACTTAGCAATGATATTTTGCTACCAAGCACAATATACATTTTTTCATTTCAAAATTTTTGTTCCTCTAATGTTACTGATTTTAAGAAGTAGCTCCTTTTTTTAATTTTATTTTTATAATTTCAGTTTTAATTTTCATATGTTGGATTATTTCTGTTTTACATGTTTTTACATGTTTTTTGAGCTCAATCCATTTGAACTGAAATTATCATTACAGTACAACGTCTTTAATCCGGACTAGTCGGGACTTCGGCGATTTCAGATTAGGGGTTTTTCCAGATCATAGATCATCAATTTAAATCTGGTAAGATGGCATGCAGAAATTATAAAATTAAAAATATGAAACTGTAATTAATGAAATAAAGAGCAATTATGATCTAAAAAGTATCAGAGTTTACAAAAAAAAAAAAAGCTTATTATTTATTTGTTTACTTTATTAAACATTTCTTTCAATGCAAGTTGTTTAAGTTGCTTCGTTTTATGTGCTAATACTTTCTCTTTAATTAACCAGACATAATTTCTTGTTCAGTTACAAAGTTAATCTTTAATTAAACAGACATAATTTCTTGTTCAGTTACAAAGTTCTGCTGTTCAAGTTCTGTAATTTCTGTGCCGAGAATACCGACTAACTTGTCAATCAAAATTTTTTCATTTTCACTAACCTCTCTGTCACTTTCTTCATGACTTTATCCATTTTTTGCAGCAATTTCACTTTTTGTTTGATGGACATCTAAACATGCTTTCGGTTTGTAGATCCTTTGGCAGCTCCAGAATTGGAAACTCTTTTTCACATAATCGAAAGTTCAAGCTTACTTTTTATAAAATTTCTCTAACAGTCTGCAAAAAAATAATAAGCCAGATCCAATTAGAAGCTTAAGGAACAACGCAATCTGCAATATTAACTGAAATAGATAATTAGATAATTTTAGCCTAGCTTACACCGTCCGTTATACATTAAACTCGCATGCGTAAACGTATTATGTGCATGCATAAACGCATATGCGCATGCGTAAAGGTATTATGTGCCTGCGTAAACGCTACGCATGCGCTTTGTTTCAAAATTTGTAGCTTTGAGGTCCGGATTATATATCATTTCGGATTAAAGACTTTGTACTGTATTAGATTTTCAAGCTTTTTGTGATTTTGTTGCTACAAAAAATTGTTTTTCATGATTTTGACCAGACCTATATGGATTCAAAATTTTTATTTTTCTTATTGTGTTGGATTGCTTATATTTGCATGCCATGTTTTGGACTCATTCTGCTCCAGATAATATTTTCTTTTGTTTATGGTTTCGAATTTTTTTTCACTGTTTACTTTGTCACGTAGGTGTTTGTCTAATTAAGATATAGATTACTTTAACTGTCTTTCTAAAATTAAATTTTAAATTGTATCTTTGTTGGTTCAGAAACAGCCTGGTTTATTTATTTCATTGCCCCAATTCAATGATAATCACACAGCAAAAGATGTAAAGTTCTTATTTCATTTTTGTTTTGCCTCCTTTTCTTTGTAGTTTGTCAATATGCTTCAGGTTTTTTGGCTTTTGCATGTTTATTCTGAACCCAATATGGGATGAATTTATTATTTATTTTGCATATTATATATTATTTATTTTGCATTGTTACCACTGCTTGTTACTGCTTTCAGCACACAACTGGATTAGGTTTTGAACTGCTTTGTATTTTTTCTTTTATAAATGTATTTATAAAAATACATACATATTTCATATACAATAAAATTACAATTAAATGCAAAAAATCAAATGAAATTCATTAACTTGGGGAGCATATATAAAAATAAATAAATAAATAAAAAATACACTCAGTTACATTTCTTCATTTATTTATATTAATTACAGCAGCAAAACTCCTGCTTTTAATGAATTATTTTTGTTATTATTTTATTCCTAACTGATTTTTGATTGCACCCACACATATAACATGCAGGCATGAACACATTTGTGCATGCTCACACACACTAAAGCTTACAAGCATTGAGTAATGCTTAAATGGTATATATACTAAATAAATTAAATATTTAAAAATGGCAAAAATTACAGGTCAGTGAGCAAAAAACTGATAAAATATCTGTCCTTGTTTACATACAGAATAATTAATTATATAGTAGAAACATTATTTTTTATGATTTTTTAGATAGAAAAGGATTGTATTTTTATTACCAACACATGTAGTCCTCTTACAATATGCTACTTTTATAACAAAAAATTCCAAATAATATGTTGCAAAATGTACATAAAATTAACAATTCATTAATAATATCACAGTTTCTTAAAATTAACATGACGTAATAAAAGAAATTGATTTAAAAGTTACCTGTGCCGGCACCAACGTCAAGAACAACTTTCTGGTGAAATAACTTATAATTGGTAAGAATAGCTTTTCGATATGTTTGAGTTCTAGTATAGTCCCCAATCATAACTCTATGAATTGACAGATCAGCATAACATCTAAAACAAAAATTCCATTTAACAGTGAAATGAAAACTAGAACTTACAAACTTTTGCAAAGTAATTACAAAAACTAGATATAAAATTCATCCTAAATATAACTAACTTTAAGCATAAGGAGAAGCAGTAAGCAGTTTATTTGCATTAAGTGTATATATAATTAAGTTAAATTACAATTCAACAAATATATAAACATCTGCATGTTTAACAACATGAACAAATACCTAAAATAATTAGAATCATTATTTTCTAGTTCAGTCTCTTCATTGTCAAAGTTCAACCTGTAAGACAAAAAAAATAATTATAATAATAATATTCAGATATCATATAACATATTTTGCATGAACACTTGCTGTTTTATAGAAAGATATGAAACATGTACAAAACAGCATGTCACATAATCTTTCATTGCATGTGATATTGTAAAAAGTATAACTCATTTTTTGTAAATTTAACCTCAATCTCGGAGCATTGATAATACATTCAGCTCCAAAATGTACACTGCAACCATAGTTCCTATAGATAATCACTATACTGTTCTGTTCAATCAGTCGAAATATAAGACAAAATAATGACCATCTATTGCACCTCTCCTTGTAACTACATGCAAGTGCTTATGTTATTTTGCTTTATTAAATAATAATTTTAAATAATGACTGAGCATAAAAAACACTTAACCCTTTGTGGCGCACTATACGTTAACGTAGGAATTTCAAAAAAAAAAAAAAAGTTGTATGCAGTCTATTTAGTCCTAAAGGAGTATACAGGTAAAATTTTGTAAAAATTGCACTTCCCATTTTAATTCTGTGAGTGTTCCATGAGGTGCAACACTGCGCCGCCAGAGCTTTTAAAAGTGCGACTAAGCGAGCATTGCAGTGAAGCACGAAAATGAGTAGAAGTGTTTGTATAAGAATGAAAAAACTCTGTATTATGGCTGTATACATGGTTTCCTGGATATACACAATATTCTTGAATATACGGATAAATGAGATAAATATCTATATACACAAAGTCCTATATTCAAAAATATTTACAAATTTTCGGAAAGAGCGCTTCGGAAAGAGTTTGACCTCTCCGCGCCATTTATGGAAAAATTAATAATAAAAAATTAACTACGAATTAATACTAACAATAAAGAAAAATAAACCTATAATATATACATACATACACAAAAAATATCTACACAATTATTGAAACATAAACGGGAATGAGACCTAAAATGCGACAGCAAAAAATTCGCGCAGGTCTAAGTAAAGATGTGTCAAGCTACTAATAAAATTCCCGCCTAAAGAACTACTCCATAAAAAATTCGAGATGCCGTATATTAGGGCTTTCATAACACAAAACACACCTCACCCAATCAATACTGCTTTGTTTGAATTCATTCCCCCCCCCATAGCAACGTAAACAGAAAACGTAAACAACGGATGTTGTCTCCTAAGCACAGATGTTTCTGATTCGTAACAGCATGAATCGTCGCTAAAGGCGCAGTGTTCCCGCTAATGCAACACCCGGTTTTATTCAATGATTCTGCATATGGTTTTTGTATGAAAGAATAAAAAAAATATGGAACAAATAATTTGGAGTACAGCCAGCAAAATTATGCCCAAATTTTTTTCCAAATACAATTTTTTATATCATTAAAAAAATAGAGAAAATTACTTGAAAAAAAGCGGATTTTAATAACACATAATAAATGAAAATTCTGTGTCTCTTTGTGATATGCTGCTATCTACTGTTTAAAAGGAAAAGTTTAAAGTATATTATAAAGGCATTTTTATCTATTTACGGTTAAATTTAAAGGTTTCAGAAGTGATTCAATTTGGGTGTTCCATGTAGTGGAACACTGAGCCGCAAAGGGTTAACTGACAGAGATATGAGGTTTCCCACTACTTATAAGAAATGTGATAAAAAAAAAAGTCAGAATTGAGGCTATTAAAAAAAATATGCAACTTTTTGATACAATATTTAATCCCCTTCAAAACCGTCACCTTCTGAGACAAATACTTAATTCAATATTACTTCTACCAGTGGATGCACACTTTGAAACTATTTTTATAATAAATATAAGCAGTTGCTTTGTCATATTCTCTTGTGTGTTTTTGCCATCTTTTGGGATTTTCTGTCTCTTTTTGTTCAGAAGAAAAAGTCTTTATCATTCTGATTTTAGACATACAGTGGCTACCAGATCTGGGAAATTTTGTGCCTGGTTATAAACTGTGAACAGGCTCAACTGAATAGCAGGTGCGTAGTTCATTCATTAGATGAAAGCAATCCTAGCCTTTTCAGAAAAATAACATTTCTCAAATGTTGAACTCTTATTCATGATGAACAATGACCTTAAAATTAAAGAAAATAATCAATGGTATCTTTACATTGTTTAGAACAGGGGTTCTCAACCGGTGGTACGCAAAGAAGCAAAGTATTTTTAATTATTAAATTCAAAAATTAAAACCCCAACATACTGATTGAGTTTTTTCTCCAATACTCTTAAATGTATGCAATCTGACCTTTGTTCAAGAATGGTAGTGGTAGTAGTACTTTGTAGTGGTGGTACTACAAAGGTTTTCAATTTTTGTTTAGATGGTACATGCTAGTCAAAGGGTTGTAAACCACTAGTTTAGACTAATTTATGCTTCTCCATTACTATGGGTCTCAGAGAGATTGGAGTTTTCCTATGAAGACTGAGCCTTGGTTTCAGGATCATAACTATACACCCCCAATTACAATCCTTTTCAAAACTTTTTTTATTGTTATCAGCATAATCAAGGTCATTGTACAGCTGAAACCTGACATTTTGATAATTCAAAAACAGAAACTTGACAGACATGTATATCACACTCAAATCTTTAGAGAGAATAGACGGAACTTGACTATCACTAATGTTGAGCTCCTCAGATATCTCAGACAGAGACGACTTTTTCACACAGATAAATGCCCATCTAATGTTTTTTTCCCACTTTCAAGACATTTAGCTCATAATAGCAGTTTAATCTGCTGTCTTGGAAATGTTTGAATCGCTTGTTTGAGCATGGCTCATATATATTCTTCCCTCTACATCTTCTGCAACTTTGTGCATTAGGATCACAAAACTTTCACCGAAATCTAATGCAAATCATTTATTCAGTTTTCTCTCACTTCAAATGCTTCAAAAGAAAAACACTTCACACATTTACTTAAAGAATTCTAATAAACAAATGAAGTGCACTACAATAATATTACTTGAGCCGTATGAATGACCTAATCCAAGGTCAAAAAGTAGGCTTTGTTTTAGGTGTTTTCACTCCAGCCTATGGCACCAGATACTTTCTGATCAAGCCTTGTAAATCTATCAGACCCGACAGGAAACAGCATAACTATTTTGTTCAGAATGATAAAGACTTAAAAGATGAAAATGTAAACTTGATTAACTATCTTTCTAAACATAATGAGACCCACAATTACAGTTCTTGTTCACAGGATTAATTGCAATCCCAATTCACAAATCCTGAAAACTATCATATGGTATAAATCTGACATAATTTCCAATAATTCAGAAAATTAATGTGAAATATATATATGTAATGTTTTTGAAGCATAGTTGCGGTGGCATTGTGGGAGGTTGGGAAGACGAACAGATGACGCCAACACAAAAGTGAATTAGAAAAATTCCCAAGATTTATTTCCACACATTTAAAATCATCTCAGTAGATATTTATCCAATCATAATGAAATCCGATACATTTTTATGATTCAATCATAATGAAATATGATAAATTTCTGTATACAGTACAAAGTCTGTAATCTGGACCCCAAAGCTACAAACTTTATGCGCATAATGCATTTATGCATGTGCGTTTAATGTATAACGGACGATATAAGCTAGGCTAAAATTATCTAAGGCATTTCAGTTAATGTTGCAGATTGTGCTGTTCTTTAATCTTCTAATTGGATTTGGCTTATTATTTTTCGCAGACTGTTAGAACAATTTTATAACAATTAAGCTTGAACTTTCGATTATGTCAAAAAGAGTTTCCAATTCTGGAGCTGCCAAAGGAACTACAAACCAAAAGCATGTTTAGATGTCCATCAAACAAAAAGTGGAATTGCTGCAAAAAAATTAATAAAGGCATGAAGAAAATGACAGAGAGGTTAGTGAAAACGAAAAAAATTTGATTGACAAGTTAAGTCGGTATTCTTGGCACAGAAATTACAGAACTTGAACAGCAGAACTTTGTATCTGAACAAGAAATTATGTCTGTTTAATTAAAGAGAAAGTATTAGCACATAAAACGAAGCAACTTAAACAACTTGCATTGAAAGAAATGTTTAATAAAGTAAACAAATAAATAATAAACTTTTTTTTTGTAAATTTTGATACCCTTTAGATCATAATTGCTCTTTTTTTCATAAATAAGGGTTTCATATTTTTAATTTTTTAATTTCTGCATGCCATCTTACCAGATTTAAATTGATGATCTATAATCCGGAAAAACCCCTTATCTGAAATCGCCGAAGTCACACAGCATACAACTATGCATTGTTTCACAAGAGTTGTACCATATTACACAGATGCTTGTATGACTGCACTCAAAATAATATGTCAAAAGTAAATATTACTTTTTATGACAAGTGCCAGGAAATCTTTGATTTTTGTTAACTTGGTGAAAATTTGGTAAACCAATGTAACACCACCAACCAGCACTTTTTTTTTTTAGCAAAAGGGGGAAGGTCTGGTTTTTTTTTTTTTTTTTTTTTTTTTTATATTATTATTATTATTATTATTATTATTATTTGATCTAAAGCTGAATTATATTTCTGGTCAGAACGTTTCTGATTTGTTACTGTGTAAGTTAAGCAAAAATTCTTTATCTCTGAAATATGGGCAAAAAATATAAGCTAAAATTCTCCAAAATGCATATTAGCTGAACCAGAAATTGAAATTTTGCACTGAAATAGCAGAAGAAATGCCCTTTTTTTTTTAATTCTCAGACACTTTCCTGTTTTGTTTCACTAACAGACCTTTCCTGTTTTGTTTCTAAGTATTTCAGCTCAGTAAAAATGCTTTACCTTTAAAACAGGAACTGAAAATACACACGAAAATGTTTCAAAATCCTAATTAGCTGAAATTATTACCTAAAAAAATTCCTTTTTTCTAGAATAAATTTATATACATAACAGTCTCCCAAGTTCTGGTACAAATTGAAGAATTTTGAACTAAAATGTAGCAAAATTATGGAGAATAATTGAAATCAGAGAAAAAAGTACATATTTTACTGTGCATATATTCTTTTTCAAAGAAGAACTACATATGTACATACACTAATATAATTAAAGAAACAATGAGAAATTAGAAAATGCTTTACAGCATAACAAAATGCTTACATGAAATTAATAAAAAAGGTGGTTGAAAGATACATCTTATTTACTTCAAGCATGAAATTTATTTAGCCTAGGTGGTAGTACATTAATAAAATCTGTCAAATCACTTTTTACCATACTCCAAATATCAATCCAATTATCAGCTTTCTGGAAACTTAAAATATTGATTACATGCTAGACATCCATAAAGAAAATTTCTTGCTCCAAACTCCCCACATTTAAATTGCACGTATATTTACCATATACGTGCAATTTAAATTCAAAAGAAAATACAGTACAAAGTCTGCAATCCGAATGTCCATAATCCCGACCTCAAAGCTACAAACTTTATGAGCCTGCACAAGTGCATAATGCTTTTACGCATGTGCGTTTAATGTATAATGGACGGTATAAGCTAGGCTAAAATTATCTAAGTAATTTCAGTTAAAGTTGCAGATTACGCTGTTCCTTAATCTTCTAATTCGATCCGGCTTATTATTTTTTGCAGACTGTTAGAACAATTTTATAAAAATTAAGCTTGAACTTTCGATTATGTCAAAGAGAGTTTCCAATTCTGGAGCTGCTAAAGGATCTACAAAGCGAAAGCACGTTTTGATGTCCATTAACACTAGAATGGCGGTAGGGGTCATTTTGACCTCCGAGCACTTTTGACCGTTGATTACTTTTGTTTTATTGGAAGAAATCGTTTGAAATTTTTTGACTTTTCCTAAATAGATGACAAATATTTGTAAAAAAATTTCAGCATTGTAGGTTTTTAAAATATTGGCATATATTCCTAGAACGGCAGACGGGTGTCAATTTGACCCCTTTACTTCTGCTCGAGGCATTGTCAAATAATCCATGAAAAAAATTCACTGATAAGGATTTTTCGATTGCATTCATACTATCTCCCAGAGGGATAAAAACATGGGTGGTCTTACTACTTTGTAATGTTTATATAAAATGTTGTTCCTTTGTTTGCAATTATCTATTCGTTCGAAGGAAATACTGCAAGGAAGGTAGATGCTTACATTTCTTTTTACACGCTTACATTTCTTTTCAGAAATAGTTTATTTTACAGATGTATTTTGGAGTTTGTTAGTTCAGCTTACTTACCGCAAGTGATAACAGTTAGGACAGATTTTTTTTGGTAATCCCAAATCAGTATTTCAGTACATATGAATTCTGCCATCATTTTTTGTGGAAGCATCTTAAACAACTTAAATTGAAAGAAATGTTTAATGAAGTAAACAAATAAATATTAAGCTTTTTTTTTGTAAATTTTGATAACCCTTTAGATCATAATTGTTCTTCATTTCATAAATTACGATTTCATATTTTTAATTGTATAATTTCTGCATGCCACCTTACCAGATTTAAATTGATGATCTATAATCCGGAAAAAAGCCTAATTCGGAATCGACGAAGTCCCGACGAGTCCGCATTATGGACTTTCTACTGCATTTAATTAAGAGAGAAAAAACTAAAAGATTCTGAATGCACTAACAGTAATAAATAAAACAAAATAAAAAATAATTAATACTAAAATTAAAATTAAAATAATTAATACTAATAATAAAAAATAATTAATATTAATAATAGTTATTTTGATTTTTCTGACAAGTTTACAGCAATTCATTTACATGAGAATACATAACTATTTTCAGAAATCTTTACCTAGAATTTGAATTGCAGCTATCTTTATTAATTTCAAAGGATGAATCAGAAGTTTCAACTTTACAGTGTGCATCATAAACACTTAAAACAGATCCTGAAGAATTGGCACTTATTTCTTTCTTCTGTCTTTTACATGGAGGCAATATATTTTCATTTTCCATTATCTTCAGATCTTATAACTTATATTCAGCTTTAAAAAAAAAGGCAAACATATAAAAACAAATTAGATCAGGGATTTTGAAAAAAGGTCCTAAAAATATTTATGAAAATTATTACCTCTACTGTCATCACAAGCATTTTAAAAGCACATATGCTTTTTTAGATTCAGAATAACTACAGGTTATTTTAAGTTATTTTTAATAATTTGAAACACGGAAAAAGTATTGAAAATTTTGTCTCATTAATTAACTTTATTGAAAATTTATGATATAAATTCGTAAAACAAAATAAAAGCCCTTTGAAATCAAATTCCCAGACTTTATTCATAACTAAATAAAACTGATGTTAATTTTTTCTTCTTTCTCCTCCCCATTACAAAAAAAAATAGAAATCACTATTAAGAATTAATCAGGAAAAAAAATCTATTTTTTAGCATGGCAATTATTCTTTAAGTGAATGTTCAACAGACTTTAAAAGTAAAATTTCAGAAGTTTACAACGTGCTTTTCCACCAGTAACAAATTCTAATAGATGGTAAGTTTTAATCATGATATCAGCCTGCCCTTTAATCTTATTATTTATTTTAGAAAACATTCACTTTAACCATTTTAAAGTTAACATGTTCTTATTTCTCTACATGATATTTATAGTGATAAGATTTAGCATTTACTTCTTTGATTTAACATTTATTTCTAAGATTTATCATTTACTTCTTTGAACTGAATTTACCTACTACAGTCAAAAGTCGTTAATTCGGACACCCATAATCCGGACCTCAAAGCTACAAACTTTCTGCGCATGCGTCGCTTTGACGCATGCGCGTAAGACCTTTATCGCTGCGAATGCGTGTGCGCGTGCGCAAATTATGTTTACGAATGCGCGTTTAATGTACAACGGACGGGATAAGCTAAGCTAAAATTATCTAATTATCTATTCAGTTAATGTTGGATTGCGTTGTTCCTTAATCTTCGAATTGGATCCGGATTATTATTTTTTGCAGACGTTAGAGCAATTTTATAAAAGTAAGCTTGAACTTTCGATTATGTCAAATAGAATTTCCGATATATATTTACTAATATGTAAAGGATATACAAAGCGAAAGTATCTTTCGGAGTCCATTAAACAAAAGTGGAATTGCTGCCAAAAAATGGATAAAGTTTACTAAACTTTAACGTTGTTTATCTAAACTTTGTTATCTTTAACGCCGCGGCAGCGTGCATGAATTGGAAGTTGATCTTCAGCACTATCCTTATCTTAAGGGCAGGGCAGATGTTTTTATTTATTTTATTTGGCTTATAATTGCTTACTCAATGTAGTATTTCATCTCGCCATTGATATGATTTAAATCAAATGCCTCGTCATTATAATTCGCTTCCGATAGCGAAGAAAAGTGACAGAGGTTACTGAAAACGAAAAAATTTCGATTGACAAAATTAGTCGGGTATTCTCGACACAGCAAATTATAGGACTTGAAAAGCGGAACTTTGTAACTGAACAAGAAATTATGTCTGTTTATGGAATTAAAGAGAATGTATTATCACATAAAAAACGAAGCAACTTAAACAACTTACATTGAAAGAAATGTTAAATAAAGTAAACAAATAAATATTAAGCTTTTCTTTTTTGTAAATTTTGATACCCTTTAGATCTATATTCTTTATTTCGTAAATTACGGTTTCATTTTTTAATTATAATTTCTGCATGCCATTTTACCAGATTTAAACTGATGATCTATAATCCGGAATCGCCGAAGTCCCGATGAGTCCGGATTAACGACTTTTGACTGTATTGTTCTTCACTGGGCTGAAAAAGCTCAATTATTTAAATAGCTACATAAGTGCACCTAATGCTTAGATAAAGTCTGCTTCAGAAAAAAAGGTTGTTATTTATAGAAAAATTTAAAAGTTTACAGTAACCTCTCCCCCCTCTCAGTTTTTTTAAACGTTTCTGACAAAAAATCAATAGATATTAAAAATAAATTAACATAACCTTGAAAATTCAAAACAACCAGAAATCTATAAGTTATAATTACGTTTAACTAATTTACATTCATAACTCTGCAACACAAATAAATTTAATGGTTAAAGAGTATGTATCAGCTCATAGCTTAAAGTGGATATTCAGGTACTTCTAAATGGAAACTTGACTAGAAAACTAAACAGTATTTTCTTTAACAATGATTATATTTCCCTCTTAATCAGACAGTAAAGGAATGTACACAAGCACAAATGTATACATACCAGAATAAATAATTTTATAACTGTAGCTGAATTAAGCATAAAAATTTTTTAAACAGGAAGTAAATGTAAAAATGGGTTTTCAAGCATATAAACATCCACATAATTTTAAAATAATACCCACTAAATAAAAACCCCAAATTTTAATTAATTAATTTCAAATTTTACAAAAGAAAAATTTAAAGAAAGCACTGAAATTCCAAGACATAGGAAGTTTATACATAAATTTAACTGCAACAAAATATGCTAATTCATTTATAAAAAGAAATGAATGACCTAATGATCTGGCATGTCTGTAAGTTAAAAATCTATGAAAAAATTATTATCAGAGAAAAGAATCAGGAAACAACTGACACATTTCACAAATTCCAGGTTAGAAACAAAATGTAGATAACAAATAAATAACAAATTACAAAATTCTGTTAAAAACATTGCTTCGAAATATCAAGACTTTCTTAAATGACAGTTTCTATGCTTTCTAAGGAACAAATTTCCATTAGACTGAAAGTTAAATGAAGTTCTTTCTATATATTTCTAATTTGGGTTCGATCCCAGGCAAATGAGCTGGGTGCAGGGATGCTTTCGTGGTTTTCTTCAAGTATGATATGTATATAAGGCTTTTTCCCTCAGAAATTGCTCCACAAACCCATCTTTCCCTTAAAAGGCCTAGGTACTTTTGTGGTTCAGATAGCCCTAGTGTACTTTTGTGGTTAGTCTATATTTTAGACAGATTATTACCGTATTTGACGGCATATAAGATGCACATTTTTTCCTAAATTTGGTCTCAAAAAAAGTTACCTGTGTCTTATACGTGAAGTACACAGGTTAACTTTCAATACTGAATGCTTTTTTTAGCCCGGATAAAGGTCTAGACACACATAACTTTTTCTACATCTGCCATAATTATTTTGCGCATGCGTGAAATATCTGTCGCCAAAAAGCACCAAAGCTCGAAGCTGATGTCGAAGTACATCTTTACGTAGACTTTCTTTGACTTAGCCGACACACATGTTGGTATCGGTGCTACTCCGTATAAACATGTCAGTATCGGTGCTTAAAACTAGTTGTTTAAAAAAATACCCTGGAAAATATGACTACAGGAAACAAGAGATTAAGCTATACACTTCAGTATACACTAGGAATGTTAAACTATGCCAAAGTGCATGGAAACAGAGCAACAGCAAGGCATTTTAGTCCACCACCTGCCAAAAAAATACTTACTTGGCGACTGCAGGAAGATCAACTGAAGACTGCTAAGAAACAAAAACATAACCTTCGATGCCCAGCTCCATCTTGGCCTGAACTTGAAACTGCCCTAAAAATGTGGGTGATAGATAAGAGGAAATCTGGGATAAGTGTTTCAACCAAAATGATAATCAATGAGGCCAAAGGATTTGCAGAAAAACATGGGAATCAGAACTTTTCAGGGTCTGAGGGCTGGTGCTACAGGTTCATGAAAAGGCAAGGCTTATCAATGCGCACAAAAACAACTATTGCACAGAAAATGCCAGCAGATTATGAAGAAAAAATACTAGCACTTCATAAATTTGTTATAAATGCACACAAGAAAACTTCTTTTGAGCTCGAACAAATAGGAAATATGGATGAAATTCCACTCACATTTGATGTACTATCCAACAAGACTGTGAGTATTAACCCTTTCGTGGGCCATTTATTTCTCTTTTGAATTTCTCCCATTTTTTTATGTTTTATTATTAATTAAACAATAGCATTTAAGGAAATATATTTTATTTTGCCAAATTTTTTGTTTACATTTAAATTTTAGCGGTGGGAAGTATACTTCCCACGGGACCTTTTAGGGTCATAGAGAAAATTCAATTTAAAGGCGATTATTTGCTGTGAAAAGATGAGAAACATGTTGCAATACACAAGGGTACTTCAGATACTGCACACATATAGAGGGTACTCTTTTCTTGGGCCTTTGGCTACATTTCTTACATCGTCTATAGTTGGAAACCATCTTTGGCATAGGATTTCCCACACTGACTAAGCGTACATCATACGGAACTGCACACCGTTTTGCTTGGAAGCTAGCAGGACAGCCTTTCTTTTTTCGAGAAATATCCGTCTATTAGTTGATAAACTAATGCTATACGGAATGTTAGCTGGTCTAAACTTCCTATTCCTCTTTGTTCCTTGCCACAGTATAAAACTTTTACGATGCAAGATCAATAAGAAAATAAAAAATACGATGCCACCATTCTAGATCTCTTCTATTGGTACATTTATTTTCTTTGATCGAAGCAATCAACCCCTCCCATGATACGGTATATATGGCAACCGCTTTAGGGCAGGTCTTTTTTAGCACCATCCTTTTATGTACGATTTACAGATGTAAAATCGCTGATTATGTCAGTAGTCAGGAACGTAACAGCCTTTTTGTCCATCAACTTTATTTCAGCAACACCCTTCCTTAGTTAGGAACAGGATCCCTCTGTAGTTTGTTATTAGCCTTCAGTATGGCGGAAGATCTTCCTTGCGGCCTACAGTCCCATAGAAAACAGACCACTTATAAGTAGACTTTTTGCAAGCTAAAAGATGTCAAATAGTTATCATAGGCTATAGGTGACCTGTCTGTTTCACATCTTCGTTAGTTTAGTTATTACTGTTTTCCCTAAGCTCATATTTTATCCTTATTATCAGAAGTTCTTTTCACAATAAATTCAAATTTTTGAAATATCAAGTCTTAGAGTCTGCTACACACCCACACCTTGTAACCTCTTTTTATAGGCTTCATTGGCATATACTGCTTCAATGAAGTAATCACTTTGAAA